CTGAAATTGTTTGCTTTTCACACAACTGGATCATACACAGCACAATTTGACAGTTTGTGATTAGCCGGAGGGATCGACTAACCTTACCGTTGATCATTGGTCTCACAAAATTTGCAAATGAGCCGTTGTCTCAAGAACGCACGATATGCCGAATGCATGGCCAGCCGTCGTCGTCGTTTCCCTGCAAATACATTTGCTGTCTTCCGGACTGGTTCCATGCCCGTACCACCCCCAAAATTCGAGCCAAGACACAAACACTCTTTTTTTTTTGTCAGGCACGTGTATGTACAGTAACGTAAGCACACGTATCAGCAGCTGCTCACTTAGCTAGAGAGCTTGTACTTAGAGGGTGTTTGGAAAAGAGGGGCTAAACTCTCAAAACCATAAATCATGACTTATGGTTTTGAGAGACTCCTAAACATCCCCCTTATATACGCCTCCATATGGCCGAGAATCCCCTATTTCTCTGTGCAATTTCTTAGGATGGTCCCTGCTGATCAGCTACCCGTCTCTCAGCAATGCGAATCGTGGGCATTGGGCAAGCCGGCTATATAGCCAGCAGAGTAGCAGACTGACCGGGGTCAGGGCAGGGTAGGATGCCATTGATTTTCCCAATTCCCAGCTGCTGATGATGCTAAATTGCTAAGAACATGTACAATAGCGGGTTATAAGCCAGCTACAAATATATTTTAAGGAGATAAATAAGGAGAGAGAAGAGCAGCGGGCTATAGATTTGTAGCTAGCTGTAGCACGGACTTTAAGACACAGTGTGTATATGACAGGTGGGACCAGATATTAATAGTGTGGTATGTAACTATTGTATAAATGAGTTATTAGATTGGCTATATATAAATTGGAGCAAGTAGTTGGGTATACTATTGTATTGAACTTTTGATCTAATGAGTGGCGATTAGGGGCTCCACCTCCCAACACGCGTGGCTCGCGCCGACGAGTGCTCGTCGTTTGTTTATCGCAGCCAGAACCATGTTACGCACGCGAGTGAAAATTGGTTGATTCTACATACCAGGCTACCAGCGCCGCAACCACGGTCACTGACATGTGAGCCTTGTACCGGGCGGTTAGCGTGGGCCCGTGTTGTCAGTAGCAGTATCATCTCTTGACGTGTGTGATAGATCGTGAGAATACAACCGTTTTTTGCTCCATTTTTATAAATTATCACCGGCCCATTCGGGTTCTGGCGTTCTGCTACTGTTTTGGGGCACTCTAATGCTCTAACACTATAGTATCATCGATGGTTTTTCTTTTTTTTTTTTAGAAATTACACAGTACAACACAGACACTCACAACACACGCGCACTCATTCTTATGAACACACGCACATAAACCCTACCCTTATGAGGATCTTTGAAGACTGGACCGGTAAATCCCTGGAGTTTAATGGTTTTTCTTCTTCTTCTTTGAGTGATCGATGTTGAGCTTTAGGAAAAGAGAAGAAAATGGTCCTGCTCGTCTGTACAGGACCCCGGCTTTAACTATAATTGCGGTGTCGTCTCCCAGGGCACTGTGCATGTACTCCTCACCGATTAGCAGCTGAAACGATGTCGAGTGGATGCATGCATCAGTATCACGCGGTCAAATTTGGAGGTGAGGCCAGTGTTGGATCTCGTTTCAACCCCCCGGCATTTTGGCAGATTTTTGTTTTCTTCCGAAGGATATATACAACTTAGGAGTACTAAGCTTTAATTGATCTGAGTGTTTTGTGGAGAACTACTTGTTTTTTACTCCCTGTCCCAAAAAAAAATGTTAACTAAGATTAGATATGACATATTCTATTACAACGAATTTGAAATAAGGTATGTTCAAATTTATAGTACTAAGATGTGTCACATTCAATATTAGATTTGTTTTTTATGGGAAAAAAAAGGTAGATGAGAAGTAGTAGTACATGGTGAGTACTGTAATGTGATGAACTCCCTGTTAAAACATGTGTTAATACTATCATCAATTAATGTAGGGACCCGGATCTGTTGCACTTAACACTATAGCACTGCAACTTAAGCAGTCGCACTACAGTAGTCCAATCAAAATCTAAGGATCCAAGCGTCACCTAGCACGATAAGCAACATAGTATCTGCTCCTCGTCCTATAATATACCAATCTAGTATCAGATGGAACATTAGTCCTACCTATGTTCATTGTACTATGTAGTGTCCCATCTGGTACTAGGTTATTATATTTATTATGGGATTGAGAAAGTCCTCCATACGATACTATACTATAATTCTAGTATTGTACTTCTGGTAAATCTGAACCATTCACCTCTGAAATGGATGGATGAAATGGCACGCAAATGTGCAATCAATAACTTGTCGTTACAGGGTTAAACTCTTATACCTCTATTGTTATGAATTTAAAATTAATTAAAGGCTAAAGATTACAATGAAATACTCAAGATCAATTTTAATATTAGATTTTAAAATTTAAGTTTTAACTATGGCTAATAAGTTAATGAATAGACGATGAAACCACTCGAAAAACATGGTCTATTGTTACCATGGTGATGTTAGTCCCGTTCCAACGGGATCTTGCGATCCCGGTAAGACTGTAGCTGCTCGAGCGCTCCATCTTAGAGCTTCCCCAGCAACTCATCCAAATTTTATCCTCCATATTCTCATTAGGATGGTCGTCTAAAAAGATTCTCACTCCATATTTCTTTTCACTCTAATAGATCATCCATATTACATTCACCATTTTGTATCATCCTATATTTTACTAATATCTTTTAACCACCACACATTTTATATTAATTTCTCACTAACTCTTCCTCTCTTCTACTTCGTATAGACGGCGAGGATGAGGAGGGCTGATGGGTGTTTCGGGGGTGGTGTGGTGCGGTCGTTGGGTGGAGAAGCAGCACGACGGGAGGGGGAGGTGCGATAGAAGGCGTTGGCGGAGGTGGAAGTCGCGGGCGAAGGGGAGCGGCGGCGGAAGGCGGGAGCAGAGGGGGCGGTGGTGGAAGTCGTGGGCGGAGGGGAAATGCGGCGGTGGAAGTTGCGAGCAGAGGGAAGCGGCGTCGGAAGGCCGGCACAACACCGGGAAGGGACCGCTTCTTCTCCAACGACCTCCCCCAAATCTGGTTGGTGCCTCCTCTCTACCTCTCTCTCCAACTCTTACAAGTAATCCAGTCGGAGCCACACCTCATTCTCCCTTTCTTCCCATGTCTGCCGCTCCTCATCCTCCCTCTCCTTCTCTGCCTGTCACTAGCACAGATGCTGCGAGAGATTGAATCGGAACTTCGGATGGGGGCAGGAGCTGCGGCGGTTACGATAGGACGTGAGGAGAGAGGAAAGCTAAATTTGACGTTCCCCTCTCTTATTTAGTACACGCACTATTTTTGACATAGCCAATGGTGTATCCGATGAAGGCTGATTTTTTACCCCCCCTACGTTATTTTTGGGAAAAGTACAGACAAGGTCCCTCAACTTGTTAGCCAGATACAAAATCATCCCTCAACCGTAAAACCGGACATCCGGCGTCCCCCAACTTATAAAACCGGTCATAATAGGTCCCTCGGTGGTTTTCATCCTAGTTTTGTCCCACGTGGCGGCTGACTTAGCGTGGGACCCACGTGGACCCCACATGTCAGTAAGCCACATCAGCACCCTCTCTCTCTCTTTCTCTATTTCTCTCCTTCCTCTCGCTCTCTGCTCTTGCACAGGAGGTGGCACGCGCGGCCGAAGGGTGGTGCGGCCGGCGACGACGGCTCTCGGGTGGCGGCGCGCGGGCTCAGGGCGGTGCGAGATCGCCGGCCTCCCCATCCCCCTCGTGCGGTCGGCGATGGCGGCGCGCGGCTGCGGCCATCATAACTGACGCGGAGAGGAGGGCTGATGCGGCGGCGGCGGCGGCGGCGTCACCGACACGGTGGGGAAGAGGGTTGGCACGGCCGACGGGGAAGGAGAAGCGGAGAGGAGGAGCGGCGACGGAGCTAGAGCCACACGCGCGGCCGACGGAGGCGCGGGGAGGCCGGTGAGCTCCTCCCAAGTCCAAATCTGGCGGCGAGGCGGGAGGAACGCGGTGACGACGGCGGGGAGGCACAGGGAGGCCGGCGTCGGCGTCGAGGCGGGAGGAATGCGTCGGCGTTGGCTCAGAGGAGCAAGGCGGCGGTGAGGGGAGCAAGGTGGCGGCGTCAGCTTCCTCTCCGTGCTCGCCAATGAGAAGGAGCGGCGGGCGACCGTGGCGGCCAAGCTAGAGCCACACGCGCGGCCAGCGGAGGCGCGGGGAGGCCAGCGAGCTCGTCGACTGGGCGGTGGCGACGAGGCAGGAGGAACGTGTCGGCGTCAGCTTGGCGGTGGCGGCGAGGCGGGAGGAACGCGGCGACGACGGCGACGCCATGACGGCGCTCGAGGACCGAAGCCGCGACGCCCTCGACGGCTGCCACCCGCGCCCAGCTCCTTCCCCGGTGGCTGAGGCTGGGGGAGACGTCGACGCCGTCTTCCTCGGCTTCGTCTACAACCACGTGCCGCCACCGCCCTTCCCGCTGCCCGTCCCGTGCCTGTTTGTTGGGTGCCGCGACCACGCTGGGCTGCCACCGCCCTTCCCTTTTCCCGTGTTGCCGCCGCCGCGTCGCCGGTCGGCGGTCGTCAGACCTCCTCTCCCGCCTCACCCCGGCGACCTCCCCACCCGCCACCCGGCCCGCCCAGCCTGCCGAGAGGAGATAAGTGAGAGAGAGAGGAAGGGAGAGGAAAGATTGAGAGAGGTGATGACATGGCTTACTGACATGTTGGGCCCATGTGGGTCCCACGCTGAGTCAGCCGTCACGTGGGATAAAACCGGGGTCAAAACCGCCGAAGGATCTATTGTGACCGGTTTTGTAAGTTGGGGGACGCCGGATGTCCGGTTTTGTGGTTGAGGAATGATTTTGTATCTAGCTAACAAGTTGAGGGACCTTGCATGTATTTTTCCCGTTATTTTTCATATGGATGATACTCCCTCCGTCCCACAAAACATGACGTTTTAAGGTTAGCAGCCAAAATTAGCTGTTGTGCAAAATGACCAAATTGTCCCCATGATTTGATTAAGCTGTCATTTACAGCATTTGTACATGCATCCAGATTATTCTAGAGAAGTTTCCTGAAACCACAGCTCAGTGCCACGTGTTAACGAATTGGCGCCTTAGCCACACGGTTGATACAGGGCAAAACCATCATTAACATATTCAAAAATTTGAATCAACCATGAAGCTTGCTTTGCCGCCCAGGAGTGCCTCTTCATTTGCTAGTTCTGGCGCCCAAGAGTGCCTCTTCATATGCTAGAGGTCATGAAAGAGCCATCCATTTCATTCCATTTCATCAACCTACATATCCAACCAAACACTACACACATCCAATCCAAATGATCAGAGATCTAAATTTGCTACTGGAAGAGGAAGGAGAGGAAGGAGATCAAGGGGCTTTACCTGATCTCAATGAAGAAATTGATATGGAAGAAGATGGAAGACATGTTGTTATCCTTGGAGATAACCTTCTTGGAGTTGATGGCCAGGAACATGGAGGTTTTCTTGATCTCAACTTGCATCCTTTTGATCTCAACATGGTGGCTACAGAAGAAGAAGAAATGCAGCAAGGTAAGATTTCAATACTTTTGGAGAAGCACTGGTGCTATGGTTTTATAAAACCAATAAGATTTCAATAACTGAAGATCTACCTTGGCTTATTAGCTGGATAAAATTAGAGCACCAGTCCATCATAACCTGCAGCTGTGAACAGATGGTGTTAGCTTTGAGGTTAAGTGATTTACATAAACCACTTTCAAACAAATAACAGCAAAACTTGATCAGATCAATCTTTTTCAACATAAGGAAACATAATTCATTGAACACTCGCAGCAAAAATAATTCATTGAGCAATGAACTCATTTGATCAGTAATATCTCTAGGAATCTAAGAGGCCATTTGTGATATACAGCAGCTACACCATGCTTCACTTAATCATTTATATAGCAAGAATATATATAGTAGGTGGACAGCAGTACCATGCTTTACTCTTATTATTGACTTCAGTACTAGACTCTAAGGCCTGTTGGATTGCCTACAAGTTGTAGTAGAACTACATGTCAACAGACTTGTCTATCCTTATGGCTGTATTATTAAAATAACAATGTGTGCAGTGTCAAAAATAAATTTACACAGCTAAGCCTTGGAAAAGCATTCTCTGATTGCACATATATTTAAAGTGTGTAGGTATAGTGTGCATGGCAGATTTAAAAGTATACTAACCAACAAGTATTTGGATAGACAACGTGATGCACCATGTGGCGCACATCGTGCATGGGAGTGCACATGTAAATGAGGAACAAGAAGAAACTGAACTAGGTAAAATTCATGTTTTTTTTAGAAGTTTGAATAAATGTACGCATTCTTATTAACCCATATTAACTTACCATGTCAAACATTTTGTAGATGACCATGAAGCATTGCAATTTGAGCTGGAAGCCTTGGAGAATGATCTTCAAGACTACGGAGTGTACGCCGAAGCTGTCAATGTTGTCTTTGATGTAGAGGAGTTGCCCGACTCAGATGACGATCAAGAAGAACATGCAAATGAAAATGTGGCAAGTAAGTCAAAAGATTTGACAAACATACAAAGGCGAGGCATTTATCAATTGTTGCTTCAGAAAAGTAAAGATGGAAAATTAGAAAAACACACCACACGTTTAGTTGCTCAAGAGTTCCATGTTAGCATCCATACAGTCCAACGTATTTGGAAGAGAGCAAAGATTTGCCATGAACAGGGAATAGCAGTGAATGTTGATTCAAGGAAGCATGGAAACTCTGGGCGCAAGAAGGTCGAAATAGACTTGTCAGTTATTGCAGCTATTCCATTGCATCAAAGGAGAAATATTCGGTCACTAGCACAAGCCCTTGGTGTTCCCAAAAGCACATTACATAGGTGGTTCAAAGAAGGGCTGATACGACGTCACTCTAACTCGCTAAAGCCTTATTTGAAGGAAGCAAATAAAAAGGAAAGGCTGCAGTGGTGTGTTTCTATGCTAGATCCGCACACATTGCCAAACAACCCCAAGTTTATTGAAATGGAAAATATTATCCACATAGATGAGAAATGGTTCAATGCATCAAAGAAGGAGAAGACTTTCTACCTGTATCCGGATGAAGAGGAGCCATATTTCACAGTGCACAACAAGAACGCCATTGATAAAGTAATGTTCTTATCAGCAGTTGCGAAACCAAGGTATGATGATGAGGGTAATTGCACTTTTGATGGAAAGATAGGCATTTGGCCTTTTACTAGGAAGGTAAAATATCCTTCTTATTACAAATGTTGTTAATGTACATTTCTTTCTGATATTCATGGGCAAACATAACTAATTTCATATACTAACAGGAACCAGCCCGAAGGAGAAGTCGTAATAGAGAAAGGGGAACACTAGTAACCAAGCCAATAAAGGTTGATAGAGACACCATAAGATCATTCATGATCTCTAAAGTGCTGCCAGCTATTAGAGCATGTTGGCCTCGAGAAGATGCAAGAAAAACCATATGGATTCAGCAGGATAATGCTAGAACTCATCTACCTATCGATGATGCACAGTTTGGTGTGGCAGTAGCTCAATCCGGACTTGATATTCGCCTCGTGAATCAACCTCCAAATTCCCCGGATATGAATTGTCTAGATCTTGGATTCTTTGCTTCACTTCAGTCCTTAACACATAATAGGATATCTAGAAACATGGATGAGCTAATCGAGAATGTTCACAAGGAATACCGTGACTACAATCCTAATACTCTTAATAGGGTATTCCTTACACTACAAAGCTGCTACATTGAGGTCATGAGAGCTAACGGAGGGAATAGGTACAAGATCCCTCACATGAACAAGGAGAGGCTAGAGGCACTTGGCGTTTTGCCTAAAGCCCTTAGTTGTGATCGTGGACTATATGAGAGAGTCATGGAGTCTTTGGCTAACTAGTGGTGGCTATTTTGTGTTATATATGTAAATTGCTATCGCTATCTATGTAATTGTGGTTTGGAGAACTAACTGGTGTTATTTTGTGTTATGCGTGTAAATTGTTAGCGTCATCTGTCACTACGCCATCCGCTGGTTTTGGCAACAACCAATATGTATTGTCAACAGTCATCATATAATATGTGTTATATATGTATTTTCACTGTTCGTTCCATCCTTAACAGATACATCAATGGCTGACTATCATAAAATATTCCTAAACTATATGAATCATGAATCATGCATTTCGTTGTTATTATATAATGATACTTAGTTTACACAAGCATTTACTGCATGTTATCACAAAGAAAATATAATGTCGGTTCGATTGTGCACCAAATGCTTAGCATACTCAACTCGAAATTTTGCAATACTATATTTACAATCAAAATCTTGCAGCATAGACTACAAGAAGTTTTTTTTAGGTTCGAGGTGCAAGGAATACTGAGCTAAGTAAACAAATTCACCAAAGATGACACAAATAAGCTTTAAAAGGTCCTTATAATTAATTAGTTAATTACACATATTGATCAAGCATCTACTGCTTACATACTACGCAAAAGGGAGTGTGCACCAAACAGCCTTGGTAGTCATGCTAGTTCTTCATTTTTTACATATATGCAGAGATCAAAGCGGTTTAGCCAAAACAGGATTCCATCTCTAGCCTTGATCTCCTCATTATTAATGCAATACTAATATGTCTTACTCCTAGTGATATTAGTACTAATACTCCTAGATGGCATATCTTCCATGGCATTATTTGTGAGGTATGGTGAAGTACAGGGGAAGTAAAATCCGTAACATACTTTCGCGAATTTCAGCAAATTCGTCGACGCCCCCATCTCCGGCAGATACACCAACATCATCTTGTAGGCCAGCCACCTCCTCCCCACCGACCAGCTGTTCAATGCCATCCATGTGCTGCTCCTCCAAGTTGGCGAAGATGCCTTTCTCCGGCTTCTGCTCCAAGTTAAGGACGCCGCCACCACTTGCCTCATCCTCGGAGTCAGGGACGATGCAGCCTTCGGGTGGCAGCTCGGAGTCGTGGACGCCACCACTCGTCTCGTCCTCGGAGTCAGGGACGACGCAACCGTCGGGTGCCAGCTCGAAATCGTGGACGCAGCCACTTGCCTCGTCCTCGGAGTCAGGGACAACGCAGCCATTGGGTGGCAGCTCGGAGTCGTCGCCACCACTACTTGCCTCGTCCTCGGAGTCAGGAACAACGCAGCCATCGGGTGGCAGCTCGGAGTCGTCGACGCCACCACTTGCCTCATCCTCAGAGTCAGGGACGAAGCCGCCGTCGGGTGGCAAGTCGGAGTCAGGGACATCGTTACTTGCCTCGTCCTGGGAGACATGGACAAATCCACTGTCCGGTGGTAGCTCCGAGTTGTCGATGCCGCCACACGCCTGGTCCTCCGACTCAGGGACGAAGCAACCGCCGGGGTGCCACTCCGCATCAGACAAGTATCCACATGCATGCTGGTCCTCGGTGAGTAACTGGACGCCGTCGGCGCCGAGCACCCCACCACCATGGCGCTCCTCGGTGAGTACCTGGACGCCGTCGGCACCAAGCACCCCACCACCACGGCCACCATGGCGCCTACATCCACCTCGCCTTGCTCCACTTGCCTGTTGTGCTTCAATGTTCAGTTCCGCCACCCTCCGCTTGGGTGCGGCCCTTCTAACCAGCCGAGCCGTTTCCTCCAAAGCCGCGACGGGCAGTGAATCGACGCGCGCCGGCCGCACCATTGCCACGCGCCCACGCCGACTGTTGAGGGGAGAGGCGAGGTGAGGAGGTTAGGGATTGGGGATTGAAGTTGAGTGCAACATAGGAACCGGATTGAGGTGGGAGAGAGTGAGGATCAGGGTTGGGGGTGACGGAGGAACCGAATCAGGTAGGGAAAGATTGGGGATCGGCGATGGTTGGGGGCGATGGAGATTGGGGATCGGCGCTGGTTGAGGACGACGGAGAGCGATGGATGGGGGCGACTAGAGAGAGGATAAGATCGGAGTAGTACTAGCGCAACAAATAAAAACGCACTTCTTTTTTCTGGTTCACCTCCACGTATACGGAGGGGCCCACCACTTCTCTCTCGACGACATTTTTTCTGGGACAATCCAGGGGCGGTGAAACGGCAGGTTTTGTGGGACGGAGGGAGTAGGATGGAGCATCCACTGGGGTGCTGATATTGGGCTTCGGGCCTTACGTACGGACCAAAGACATGACCTAAGCATGGCCCACTGTCAGCCATTCAGGCCTGCCACCTCGAGCCCGGTTAGACTAGCCCCGACCCCGATGTGGTAACCTCAGATTTCCCTCGTGTTGGTGGTCACCTCAAGCGATGGAATTACGTGTGCAGCCAGCAGCAGGGCAGCTTTACGGTGCTCTCCCCTCTGCGCTCTTGCCACCCGTGAGCGAGGGAGCGGTTGATTGATTTCCGTTATCTCGGTCCGGGGCTACGGCCTCGCCGAGTGGCTGGCTCTGTGTGACCGCGCGCGCGCCTTGGAAAAGGATGAAAAGAACTGTGCGCAGCAGCAGACAGGGCGCGGAAGAGATACTCTAGGCAGATAGCACAGCGCACGGCAGGGCAGAGCAGGAGGAGGATATAGCATCGGGGGTCCCGGCGCGCCGTATCGGAATGGCAGGCAGCGGGCAGCGGCAGTATCCCGAGCGCAGCGGCGCGGGCGACGACGAGACCACCGCGTCACGCGTGAGCGTTGCGGATTTGTTGGGATTGGTCGATGTTTTGGATGCATTTCGGGGGCGGTGCGTGTGCTGCTCCTGTATGTGGCCAACCAACGCACCGCGCGAGAGCGCGTCCTGTTCCGTTTGCTGCGGCCTCGTCGTCTCTTGTCGGGACCGACTCGGGCGCCGCGATAGCCGCTTCCTGTTGCACAACCTGCACGCTGCTCTCTCTCTCCCTCTCTCTCTCTCTCGAATATTTTTTTTCTCCCTGCCCTTGTTGGGATCGTTAACACTTCGAACCCCGTTTTCTTCTCAAATTGGGCTCGGTGCAAGTACTGGAGACTCGAAAGCCTTAAGCTCCTGCGAGTGTGTGGCTTCATCAGTTTCTAACCGAACCCAACCTACCAGAAAGAACTCTTCTAAAGCACTGAGATCCAAACTCACAAAATAGCCTAAGTTTAACTGGTTAAGCTAATATAAACCCTGCGATCCAAACGCAAAGCAGGGGGCATGCGGGCAGCAGGCAAGTCCACCAACCGAAGTACCAACCCCCGTGGAATGGATAGACCGATCGATCGGCGTGCGCCACCACCATACACTGATGCACACCGCTGCAAGCGGCAGTGAAAGCTGCAGCGGAGGCGTGCACGGCCAACCACGTGAGCGCTGAATGATTACGGGCTCATTTTTGGGATGCCGCAACCACCAACAGCTCCTGTGCCGCCGGTATTATTGCGCAGGCACAGCACATCATCCGCTCCGCAACAAGGCTGCTCCGCAGCAGCAGCCTCTGCACCTGCACTACGTCTGCGTCTCTCAAAGTCGCCAAAAGCCGAGACTGCCAGATCAAAGTACCGGCAGTACCACGACTCGGTCTTGCATTTCACATCCTATATATGGCGATAGGCTCATGAACTGGAAACAGGCACATGCACGCGTGGAAGTGAGGGGGTCAAACTGTGCCTCGCCTGCACGACGGCACGAGCAACGTTCGGTGGAAAGAGGTGAAAGGATCAAAGGACGTCTACTGATACTCTGATAGCATGGTAGATTTGGCATCTGCTCCATTCAAGTCGGCCTTGATTCTTCGTTCCATATCTGACATCCCGGGTTTAGTACGGATAGCAAGAAAAAGTTCAGAAAAGAATTTACGAGGGAAAAAAAATCCCACGCGAGACACACCGTTCGGTGAAAGGGAATGGAAGACAAAAGCCTGATCAAATTCTCTCTTTTCGTGCTTTGTAGTCGTAGTAACTTTGGACTGTACGGCCAATGAGCGTCTACTTTGGTGAAGTTTGTAAGAGTAAACTGTGCACGGCTAGAGCAGAACTACTGTAAAAAAATTGCACGCATATACTTCACCCCTGTGCAGAAGACACCGAGCATCTCACTGTATACCCCACTGGATTTACAGCTAAACTTCTGATAACCTCACCTACTTTCTTGAACAAAACCACAGCTTTAGTTGTTTTCGGACCTAGTGCATGCATCCTCCTCCCTCACTTCACAGCAAAGCAAACCGCTGCTGCTAGTACACCAATAATCATTTAACACTGGTAAAAGATCTCATCGTCAAATGACTATGGCCGTCTACATCTGCAAACACTGAGAGAGAAAAGATCTCAAAGGAGAAAGCAGTTTAAGCCTCTAGTTAACGACGATTCAAGGACCACAATGCTGCAAACACTGCCAGGATTCAATTCAAGGAACCATTGCATTTGGAAGCACTGACTTGTTGGCAAGTTGCAACATTATCTGCAGGGGCGGAGCTAGTTAGGGGAGGAGAGGGAGGGGGGAAGGAGGGGGGGGGGGTGCCCATGAACAGGTCAAGAAATTCTTTTAGCTATAGTTTAATTAATTTCATCATATATGCACCCCCTTAATTTAAACTTGAGAAAATCTGAAAATCCCTTGTATACCCCTGCAATCTTAGCTAATCCTTCTATGCCTCTGAATTTTGCTTACTTTCTTGTATGTCTTCAAAATTTGATTTTGATCCCTTTCATACCCCTTTCGTCAGTTGACCATTAGTTGACCATCAAATTTCTATAAAAATAATCATTTTACCCTTTGGATGAACATAGAAAATTATGAATTATATTATTGAAAATATAAAAGTTTGTTGCATGAGACTGTTATAATTATGAGTTTGTTCTGCGTGACAATTTATTTTTAGATAATGAAATAAAAAATATGTATTTATTTTTATTTTTTATAAAGTCATAAAAAATGAGGAGTATTAGAACTACCGATGCTCACGATATTTTTCTATGAATGCTCCCGATAAAAAAAACACTGCCCTATTAAAAGTTCAAATAAAAATTTTAATTTATTACATTTGTTTTATTTTCCAAATTTATGTCAAAATTTTCTGAACTAATTATTTAGTCTCTTTAGTTTCATAAAATGCATGCACTCAAACAAATTTTCAATTGTTTTTCAACGTTATTCAAACATAAATCATCAAGGGCATAAAAGACATTTGCAACCAAACTTAACCATGGAATAAAGGAAAATGTAACGGCAGGAGCATAGAAGGGATCAAGTTGAAATTTCAGGGGTATAGAAGGGATCGGGCAAATTTCAAGGGTATGAAAGGGATTGAGTGAGTTTTCAAAGGTATACAGGGAATTTACTCTTTAAATTTAAGCACTCATATCAGCCTTCTTACTCTAAAGTAGAGTAAAGCAAGCGAGTGGCATCCCTCTCTATTTTGTTTTAGCTCACTTCCAAGGATATACAGGGAATTTACTCTTTAAACTTAGGCACTCATATCAGCCTTCTTACTCTAAAGTAGAGTAAAACAAGCGAGTGGCATCCCTCTTCATTTTATTTTAGCTCATCTCCTGATTATCTAACCGAAAAAGCACCCCAACACCAGTTTGATACTGTTCGAAATCACTGCAACGAGTGGGTGACACAATACAGCAACACCATAGTGCACCGCAAAGCAAATTTTGGTTCGAAATTTCCGAAATCCTCTCCCCCCCCCCCCCCACCGGTATGCTCAAATCTCGCCTAAAATTTTCGGTTTTTTGTAACTTTTTTTTGTGAATTTGGTCAAATTTTATTCAAATTCATTCAGATTTTCAAATAATTTCGGCCAGAAATTTCCGTAATTTCGGTGACCCCGGCATATAAAATCCAATTTCGAAATTTCAAACCCTGAGGAGACACGCCCGTTGGTAATGTTGTTACAGCATCGACATGTTCATCGAAATCTGAGGTGCTACATTGCATACCTCTGAGTCCAGGTCATTGCCTTGTTTCGTACTTGTACGTGTGGGCGATTTCAGGGACCAGAGGATCATCAGGGTTCGGATCAGTCAGTACAGAGCAAATTGACAGCAACACCTGAAAGCAAACAGAGAGCACATGTTTGTCGGATTTGTTCAGCCCAACTGGAGGAACCAAGCAATCGTCTTGCAAAAGGAAAATAGCATTACACGAGAGAGGCAACCTTGGAAATGGTTAGTGCTGTGAAGAAACCATAGCAAGTAACCATCGAGGCATCGACACTGCTGAGGTCTCGCTGATATGAGTAGTGGTGCACGGCTGCGAAGTCACGGGTAGAAGGGAATGGGGAAGAGGAGAACGAAAGGGCAAACAAACGAATGGGCCTGGTTCTATGGGCTTAAAGTGTGCATTGCCGACAAGCATGCACGACTTAGTTTTTCCGGTTTTGTTTTGCCACGCCAATCTATCTATCTATTATATTGCTAAAACAACTTTGAAAGGAGGTATCATATTCATCGTGGGGGCTACAAATTCCCACATTAATCGAAGAAAAGGAAAAGAAGAGTCCAAGTAGAAATATAATTTAAAAATAACTGAAATTCGGAATTAAAAATAAGCAATATAGAAAAAATGCACGTGCGTTGCAACAGGTAAAGACGGTTTTTTCAGTGATATATCAAGAGAATAAGTGGTAAGCAATAAATAAATTAAAATATTAGGATCACTATACATTATAATTGAAAATGTTAATGAAAATTCTAACATTGGGATCGCTATATATAGATTATAATTAAAAAAGGTAATGAATTTTTTTTCTTGGTTTTTGGCCGAAAGCATTTCTTTCTTTTCAAACGTAGGCTAGTCCACTACCTCCTTCGACCCACAAATGGAGCTGTAAGCCCAGCTCGCACCGTATCGTCCACTATCATCTTCAACCTTCCAAACATAGTCACGTGCTAGTACGGTTGCCTGTCACCCAAAATTGGTTGCGGACTTTTAATCTACTCAATACTCTTTCTGTTTTTCCAAAAATCAGAGCGTAAAACCTGGGATAAAAATGACCGGGGAAGATGGCCGTCATCATCGGTAACGGTTAAACGAAGATTAGATCTGGCAAATTAAAGCCGAATCGAAAGGGAAAATCATAAAGAAAATGATGAGGGAGGAGTAGGGAATCGATTTTTGCAATCAAATTGGAGGAGAAAACGCACTATTGATATGGCGGCGGTGGGAGGCATGCGGCGAACGGATCGGATTAAAAATCCGGATGAGTAAAACAAAAGGCACACGGGATAAAAAATGGCGACAAAAAAATGACGAAAAAACTGAGTAAATTGCACCCACATTGCAACAACTTGGTAGGTGGGGTGCAATTTGGTGCAATAACTTGAGAAATGAGCATTATAGTGCAACAACTTAGCAGAAATATGCAATTTAGTATAATAACTTTAGACCATATAAATAAAGTAGGTACGATTTTGATACAATAAATTAAGAAGTTATGTGACAACTTAATTATTTGGAGCATTTTTTATATAAATTTAATTTTTTAAGTATTTATTTTGACAATATAGTAGC